CTTTATTAGAAGCCGCAGTATCTAATACAGACTTTACAGTATAGAAGAAAAGAGGTAACCAGTAAATTGGTTGTCTTGTATCCATGCAATATGATTAAAATACGATCTTAGTTTAGGCTTTATTTTTTGAATTCTTGTATTTGAGTTTATTATATATTTGTTGGCAGTTTTTTTAAAAGTTTTGGTAATTGTTAATGCCCACTAACTATGTGGCAATAATTAAAGTAATACAAAACACGATATAGTAATAAAATGTGTTGACCGAAAGCAAGATTACTACAGGTACACAGTTGTGCCTTTGAAAAATTGCGCCCTCTATGTTTGAAGCTGTGTTGTGGTGTGAAAGGCGTTTTTGTTTTATATCTGTATCAAAGCAGCGATGCGATACGACCGATTTTTTAAATTTTTTGTCAAATGGCGTCACCAAGCATTTCTTTATATGATTAATTATTCATGAGGATAGTTAATTTGGACAAACATATGATAGTTATCAAATTTAAGATATATAGTTTTGTTTATAGTAATATAGCTGGAATACAAGTCATTGAAAATGACACAGTCCCCATTAAATGTTTGAAAGTTCTCTTTGTGCTCGTCATATTAAAGCGGAGGGGTTCCAAGTGGCGTATACAACAGATTGTTTATTTACATCAAAACACGTGTTCCGTGTAGTAGCAACATGGCCAAAAATAAAAACAGCAGTTATTCGGCCATTTTTGATCTGATTATGAAACACACTGATATGTATGATGTATGTGCCAAATATGAATGAAAATGGTACATAAATTGTGGAAATATAGTAGTAAGGCCAAAAAGTCAGATGGCTGTCAATCGGCCATCCTTGACCAGATTTTGAAAAAAATTGTCATGGACATGCATCCTAACATGTATAAAGTACATGTATGTGCCAAATTTGAATGAAAACTGACAGAACACGTCCAAGATATCGCATAAACAATCAAAACAAGATGCCTGCCAGTCTACTTAGTACTATCTTTGATCCAATTGTGAAATAAATCGTCATGGACATGTATTCTAACATGTACATGTATAGTCTATGATGTACCAAGTTTGAATGACAACTGACAAAACATGTCCAAAATACAACATTTTCAAAAAAACAAGATGGCTGCCAGTTGGCCATTTTGAATCGAATCGCTAAGCCAATGCATGTGCATATGTCCCACATAAGGTACTAGGCACATGCAAAGAATGAATGGAATCGGTCAACAGGATTCTGAAATATGACTCTGGACAGATTGACGCAGGGACGGACGGACACACGGACGGACGGACACAGGAACTCACTGACGGTTGGGGACATGTATCCTAACAGGTATGATGTATGTACTAAATTTGAATGAAAACTGACAAACATGTCCAAAATACAACACTTCAAAAACCAAGATGGCTGCCAGTCGGCCATCTTTGATCCAATTGTGAAACAAATCGTTATGGACATGTATCCTAACATGTATAATCTATGTACCAAGTTTGAATGAAAACTGACGAAGCATGTCCAAAATACAACATTTTCAAAAAACAAGATGGTTGCCAGTCGACCATTTTGAATCGAATCGCTAAACCACTGCATGTGCATATGTCCCACATAAAGTACTAGGAACATGCAAAGAATGAACGGAATCGGTCCAAGGGATTCTGAGATATGACTCCGAACGGATGCACGGACGCATGGACGGAGACCAAATTACAAGTCCCTGTTTTCGAACTTTGTCCGAACAGGGACTAATAACCATGTCAGGAATATGATTTTTTAACATTAAAATGATTGACATTTGTATCTGATTGCCAAACAAGTACTTGTCCACATTGAGAGATATTGCTCTGGAACAGCATTCAAAATCAGCCATTTTGAATACATGTGTATATATATATATAACATGATGTATAACGAATATATAAAATTTAAATATAATAAGTCAAAGCATTTAAGAGATATGGCTCTACAAGCCCAATCATTAAAACAAAATGGTCGCCAGTCAGCCATTTTGAATCCAATCTGAAAAATAAAATGACGAGCATCAGGAACCCGTAATGTCTAATGTATGTACCAAGTTTGAACGAAATCCACCCATAAATGCTTGATATTTGATGATTTTTTAGCACAAAAATGACCACTATTCGGCCATTTTGAATAGGATAGTCAAACCAGTATATCTGTTTATCTATGACATGATGTATAATGAATATTTAAAATTTGAAAATATGGGTCTAGAAGCCAATTCATTAAAACAAAATTTATCTATAAATGCCAGAAATGCTTGATATTTGATGATTGTTTAGCACAAAAAAGGCCACCATTTGGCCATTATGAATACATGTATGATCGTCAAACCAATATATCTGTTTATCTATGACATGATGTATAATGAATATTTAAAATTTGAACATAATCAGTGAAAGCAAGTCAGAGATATGGCACGAGAACCACATTCATTAATACAAAATCGGCCATTTTGAATCTTATCTGAAAAACAAAATTATTTGCATCAAGGTCTCATAATGTCTAATGTATATACCAAGTTTGAACAAAATCCATCTGTAAACAGCCGAGAAATGGTTGATTTTTTAGCACAAAAATGGCCGCCATTCGGCCACCTTGAATCAGATCGTAAAACAAAATGATGTGCATCAAGGTCCTATAATGTCTAATGTATATACCAAGTTTGAACAAAACCCATCTGTAAACAGCTGAGAAATGCTTGATTTTGATGATTTTTAGCACAAAAATGGCCGTCATTCGGCCATCTTGAATCAGATCGTGAAACAAATTGACGTGCACATGTATAATATCATGTATGATGTATGTATGAAGTTTGACTGTGATTGGTTCAGGCATTTCTAAGATACAGGTCCAGACGCACGCACACATAGAGGTCAAAACTGTGTCCACCGTGTCGACAATTTTCATTCAGATTAAAATAAGATCAGAGGTTGGGCTTTTTTTATTTTAAATTATTTTTTTACATTTGAATATGTATTTACCATATTTGCTCTATTAGTAACATGTGTTTATGTTAATTACAGACTAGGATGTTTCTATGGTTAAAATAAATAATATTTTTATGATTTGGTAAACAACAAATGCAATTTTTGGTTTATAAGTGCTTCTATTAAAGCAGGTATTTATTTTTCCTAACGGTATTTCAAGATCAGAAAAAAAACTGAATTAAATATTTAAAATACTGTGTGGGGACGCTTGGCAGTTGTTTTTCTGTATCTGTTACAATAAAAAGATCTCTCCCAAGATGAAAGTTAGCAGTATACATGTATGTGTACAACCATACAAACAGAAATGGAAACTATGTATATTGATGATTTATTCCTATTATGATGTTACGCTCTGTATGAATTATTAAAAAAAAAAAACAAGTATTTACAATTCCTGTCACACACAGCATTTACATGTGCTATTAAAGTACATTACCATAGCAATATTGACCAAAAAAGTAAATCCTATTTCCATTTACAGGGGATAAAGCAACAGCCAGCTGTAACAGAAATATCACAAGTCAAATTCGGCATAAGTTAAGTTGCTGGGAGTAAAGTTCACCCTATAACGTATTGCACCTCATAGTAAATAAAATGTAAATAAAATATAAATAAAAAAAACATCACAACAAGCAGTTTACAGCATCTCTTGGGAACAAATAAATTGCCATGTCTTATAACATGATGATGGCTATCTTGTATATGGTGGCCATCTTGAATATGGTGGCCATCTTGTATATGGTGGCCATCTTGAATATGGTGGCCATCTTGGATACATTGGAAGATACCAAAACCCCACAACCAACATTTTCAAAATAAAAAAAAAAATATTTTAAAATTTGACAAATACTGCAGGAAACACAACAGCCTCTTAAATGAACTTTGATTGACTGAAATTCAATAAACAATCAGCCAATCTGGCTACATTTTACTGATACAAGCAAAGTGGATAATTTCAAGTCGATAATTGTAGTTCTAAAAGTTACATACATAGTATATACATTGCCTGTAGAAGTATATTGGCATTGCAATGTCACAACGACCATATATGGTCACGATGCACATTTATTTCAGTAAAGGCAAGGCATGAAGCAGTCATTTTGAATGATTTGTCAAGCAGAATTCTTAGAATTCATTGAGCTCTGATTAAAAATGATAATCTGGCTAAAAAAATCAGAAAAATAAAATTGTAAATAATGTATTTTTACATTAGCCATGTAAATAAAATAAAAACTATGTATCAAAGTTAAGATTTAGAAAGTATTATTTTTACCGTATTATTTATTTTTTTTTAATTGAGATAGCACACAAAATAGTGAACATCATGTACTAGAAAATAAATACACACAGCAAAACAAAATGGAGGACCTCATACCTGTATCCTAGGAAACAGATACAGAGACCATTTTGAATTGAAAGCAATGTACACAGCAAAACAAAATGGAAGACGTACCATATTTGCTCTAAAAGTAACTCATGAGATTATGATTCAGGATACAAATGTGATTTTTGGTTTATATGGGCTTCTATTCTATTGTGCTTCTAATAGAGCAAATATGGTATATCTTTAACCAAGGAAATTGAGATGGTAGCCATCTTGAAATAAAGTCAATGGCCGACCCTGATTAAATGCACATTCAGACAGCCCAATTTGGACCAAATAATCATGCAGTTTTAAATGGCCAATAAAATCAAATTCCTATCATCAGATTTTGATTGGGTCGCTCAATCTGCATAATCAAATTCAGCCAATGTAACCCACAAAACAAAATACAGGACAGGTATACTAGAGAACCGAGACTGTCGCCATCTTAGATGGCAACATAGCTCAAAGCCTCAATATCTTGTTCCAAAATACACTCGCGATATTAAATTCAAAGAGTTCTGTGTAGAAAGCTAAAAATTATTCCATTGAGTCGCAAAATTTCAAATACATGTACACAGATTATGGCAAGGACTGTGGATCATGAAGTTGTCTGTAGACCCGCTCAGTCGACTTCAGTCTCAGATCCTGATGAACTTATACTTTCTTCAACTACAGACTCCTACAAGACAAAAAATTAAATATTTACTCAATGGCTGCCTTTTCATATTAATAATCATAACACATGGATGGAGAAATACAATTTTGTAGAGGGTGACAAATTTTGTTGAAGTCATGCAATTTTTATTGCACGAGAAACAAAAATTTTTGAATTATACAAATAAGGGAAAACCTGTTTTTATTATTGAATAATTCACTGTCGTATGGACTTTCATGAAATTTCATCCAAGTAAACATAAAAATACAAATATTGCTAGAAACAAAACAGTTCACAATGCTTTCCCTTTCTTGGGATGACATCTGAATGGGAATTAAAACGTTCTATATCTTTGAGTTCTAAAAAACAACACACCAAAAACACTTACCCATCCCCCCTGACTTGCGATCCATCCGGCGAGTTTATCGTTAATGAACTTGACACTGTTGTCTTTAATTTGCGTTACCGCTGACGGTGTACGCCCAGCTAGTTTAATAGCATCACCAGTTAGCCTCAAAACCAATGACAAACCTCGCCAACTTGTGTCATTACCGATCAGATGTGAGGCAACGCCTTTAAACGTATCATAGCGGGTGTTCTGCACGACCGACATCAATACAGATAAAGGTATAGAAAACTGAAAGCGAAAAAAAAAAAATGTTTTACTTTGAAATCCTTATTAACACTTATAACATTGTTTGTGATGTTTCAGACATGTACAAAAACATGAATATTCTATTTTTAGTATTTTGAACTTACTAGTTCTGAACTTGACCGTCTATCGCCATGATGACGTAATCTTAATCCTAGTTGCCTAGCATCAGTTTCTGTGAATGGGATCTCTTCCTCATCAATTGGAATCTCAATAATTTCTTCTTGAATTTCTAAACAAACAAAAAAGTTTGAGATGTAACTTGCATTTTGATGTTAGCTACTGTAAACACAGAAATTTGAACATAAATTTGGTACAACTTAAGTTGCAGTAAACATGATTACTGGTCCACAAGTAGGGACAAAAAACATGTGTTGTTGTTTTTTAGTGCAATATTCGCATAATTCTCATGTTTCTCTTAAAAATATCATACGACTAGTTGAAACTGATTTCATTTTTTAACACGTTTCCAAGGGCCAAAGAAAGTGTTGTTCTTTGGGTGATGTTTTTCGATATGATCAGGGTTTTCCACTTGTAGCATTATAGAATAGAGACCCACTCCTTAATAATTTACAATAATGTGAAAACGAATTAAATTACCATAAAACTGAATATAACAGAGGTGACTGGGAAGTGTATATATAATAAGACCTTTACTGGTTAATATGGTTCGTAATTAATTGTCTGATGCAAAATAAACCTGACTGGAATTGGAGGATAAGAAAGAAAAGGAACTTTCATTACAGCACAATTATCTTTTATACACACCTTTCTTTGGAGAGGGGCTGCTACCACCAACAGCACCAATTAATTCATCAGCCATGGATTCGCCAACCGCATGGTCCACTGTGACTCTGTCACCAATGGCAGCCAACCTGGCTGCAATCTTCTCATAGAGGGCCTCCTTTTCTTTGTCTGATCGATCCTTGAAGGGTTTATACTTTTCATCACTGCTAAAGTCTATTGCCATGGAAACAAAGCAAAGGATGAGTTTAACGGGGAAACTGAATTCTAGTGAATAATATGATACAACAATAAGCATGACCCCTAAAGGTCATACATCCTGGCACTATGCATGACCCCTAGAGGTCATACATCCTGGCACTATGCATGTCTCCTCGAGGTCATACATCCTGGCACTCTCTGCTTTCCCAGCAGAAATTAAAGAAGTAATTTTTAATTTTAGGACTCTAATTTTAAGCAGGTGAAAGTTATTGACAAATTCTCATCTGTATTAAATTTGTTCAATCAAAAAGTACCAGGATGTGTGACCTTTAAGGGGTCATTTTTTGGACATGCCTACTCCTAAATGAAAAATTATTCAAAATTGAATGAATAGGAATACAAGTTACAAAGATAGGAATAACAAAACAAGACAAGACCATGCAGATGAAACAATCATACAAGACATGTAATACATTGTCACAGTGTAGATTTATCTCCATTAAACAAGGACTGCCACCAATCCATTTATGTTATCTGTATGATACAGTGTATATGTATATATCTCACCTTCGGCTGGTATAAGTATAACACGGGGTCTAATGCCATCTATTATGTAATAGTAACGATGAGTTGTGTTATCTTTTAATGGTGAGAGAGGAAAGCACGTAAGAAAGTAGAAGACAGTGAAGTTAGTAGAGAAGAAAAAAAAAGACAACTGGTACATGAATTTCATCTAATACATGTCCATGTTAATATTATTGCATTCTGTTAGTTAGGAAATGAATGGTGAAATAACCAGTGATGAAATGATGTACTTTGATCGGCCTGTGAACACCGCACATTTTCTGTAAGTTATGTTTCTAATACATTGCAATATAACTGAATACAAGAATTTATCATCTCACCTTCTACAGACCCACTACAATCTTCAACAACATCCGCGGAGAGTCTGACAACATGAGCTCCTGAGGCTCTCAATCCATCTCTCTCATTCATCTCAACTTCTATAGCCTCTGTGATACCTGAGGAAAGCGGAAAAGATTGGAATGAGTTGTTTGTTAGTTTGTGTGATGGTGAATGGGTTTGTATGGGGTTGCGTTAGCATTTAAATGAATGAGTAGGTTATCATGTGGGTTGTCTATACAGTAGATTGGGTTTGAGAGGTACTGAGGGTATGTCAGTGGGTTTTGTGTGGAATGGGTTTGTAAAGTAGGTACAATGGGTTTTATAAGTGTGGGATGTCTTTGTAAGATAATACAGTGGGTTATGTGTGTGAGATACATCTTTGTATGTTTGTAAGGTGATACAGTGTATTCTTTTGATGGGTTTTGTTAGATAGGTACGATATTGGATCTGTTTGATGACAAAGGTGATTGGATTAACGTCATCGATCACTACAAGATGTGCATGTAATTATGCACAGCTTATGATTGGTTAGATCCAATTGATGGCATTTCAATGCCAGAAGAAACTAACATTGATATTTACCATTCAGTCCCAGATTCTCCACTTGTCCTAGTCTATCAAATGAACGTAAGGTATGCGGACTGACATTCAAAGATGTTGGCCTCGGTGGGCCAGACATTGCACTCAGAGATCTAAATTGAGGCTGGTTTGAGTCATTTTCTCTGCTGAAGTTTGGTCCGTCGGTGTCGTCCTGAGAGACTCCCGTTGTAGCTGTACAGTGCAATGGAGGAACATAATCAGGATAGTTTTTGATTTTTTCACTTTCTTTTGATTCTCGTTTATTATCTCCTTGCAGTCTGTATGCTGCAGATCGACTGGCATAGTCACTATGTTTGCTACGGCCGCTGTGAAATTGATCACCGCTAATTGTCATATTATCGTCAATTTCAATGTTGAACAATGGTGCAGAGTCGGCTGATTTATGTCCATGTAGGATTTCACCATTCGCAACAATACCTTCACTGCCCGGAGTGGTGGCATCACCAAATCCTTTGTGTTTCTTGTGTTTTTTCGAAAACTTTGGTGAGTCTAGAATCTCAGCTGATGAGAGTGATGAAGGAGTTATAGCACCTACAAAAAAAATATTGCTGAATATATACAAATACTGTGGGACTATTTATTTTCACTGGTAATTAATTTCACTATTTTGATGTTTTGAGTAATTTCAATTGGTTTTAAGTTCACAAACGTGGCAGGAAAACAATGTGTTCTACTGTGTACATGTTCACATTGATTTAATTTAGCAGAATTAAAGACTAACGAATAATTAATGCATTTACAGTACATGAGGGACTTCATCTTTAATAAATAAAATAAACTTCAATAACAATTTTTAAACAATCCTAATCCACTCATGTTAAAACAATAAGCCTGATTGGATGACTAGTATAAATCTAACCAATGACATATTAATTTGCATATTTGATGATGTCATTGAATGTTAATTTGAATATTTGATGATGTCATATCATGCTAATTTGCACATTTGATGTCATTTCATGTTATTTTGCAGATTTGATGCAAAACATTATAGATCTGCATATTATATGATGTCATATATTATGGCTAACTGATTACCTGCTGTAGAAGTTGAAGAAGGAGTAAGTACGCTGTCAATGGAATATCGCTGGTTGTCTTTTAATGATTTTCTTCTGAGCTTTCGTCGAATACTGGCTCTAATTCCGCCCTTTTTTGACTCATTTTCCTGTTTACACGCATCTTTCTTTTCTTCTTCCTCCCAGTCATGTTTTTTCTTGGACACTGACGGAGATTTCAAAAAAGACTGTATCGACCGGGCAATACTTGAAAATGAATGCTTCTTTTTCTTTTTCGTTTTTGTCGTTGGTTGTTCACTATGAGGTAAAAGATCAAGTTTTTCCATTTTTTTCAAAGTTTCTTCTGTCGGTTTTAATTCAACACGGTAATGTAAACTTCCCGGTGCAGAGTTAGACATTGGTTTGGATTCCTCATCGTCATCATCATAATCCGAGCATTCAAGATCATTCATCACTGAGTGTCTAGCAGCCTCGCGATAACTTGGTTCTCTTTTGAACTGACTTTCTTCCTCAATATCTGACATTTAGTAATTGTTCTTCCTCTGCCGTTTTGTCTGCGAATTTTAATCATATATTTTCGTCTTGGTGATGCATCATTCATACTTAAACTTCGTCGTATGAAAACATCCAGGACTTTTTCGGTTTCTTCTTTCACTTTCGGAATTGTTGTTTTTCTTTTTAACTCCCACGGCGGTTTTTCACAGCAATGTTCTTTTGTATCTTCCGTAACATCACTTGGGAGGATGCATGAGGTGGTTGCCATGGTAGCAATCACTGTTTGAACAGCCTCTGACTGGTCTTGTCTGTAACAAAACAGAAATAACACTGTATGACTCGCTCCTGCTACAAATTGAAACCAGTAGCGCTTTGATTATGGAATGAATATGCAATTAAAAAACGCAATTCTTTTTTTTCTTACAAAATAAAAACTATTAATCAAATGGGAATACAGTGAACTGCATGACGGCATGAATGTTTTTTATGGAAAATTATTAAATATTTATAAAACATTTAATTGCATGCTTCATTAAAAATAAGAATATCCTTTTATGGAAGTCATTAGGAACCCACCCATTATCCATCGTTGGCCGATTTACTACAATGTGCAAAGTACACAAATGAAATTATACATGGACATACATGAAGGCATTACTGATTGGTCAAGTTGTTTTCAATAGTCATTTCAAATTTCAAAAACATAAAATATAACATTAAATATTTCATATAAATAATAGTAATGCCATCTTAGAATTCCCAGTACAAATGTATTACAATGTTCACAAACATAATATTCATACATATATGTAGAAGGGCGCGAGAACATGATTCTAAATATGAATGTACAAAAGTTCTCCAAATCAATCTGTGAATATTCATCAAAATAATTCATTATAAATGACATAAAAACAAAATATAATATAGAATGCAAAATAAAAATGTAGGCATACTCAAAAAAAAAATGCATCAATGAAGGCAAGACCAAGTCACTCAACATTGTGAAACAATACCATGATCAGCTTGGAACAAAGTACATGTAAGCATGGCCACCAGCTGGCCATTTGGAATCCAATCATAAAACAAAATTACTAAAACATACAAAAATGAATCATAGCCGAGAGCGAAGAATACACCCGGAAATAACAGAAACAAGATGGTTGCCAGTTGGTGATACTGAATCAAATTATTCATGAAGGGAAATCGCTGAAGTTGTACTGTATTCAGTCTAAAAAACGTAAAGTGCACATAAGCCTAAAATAGAGTAGATTACATGCGGGATGACTTGAAACACATTGTAGCCTTGGTATCCTTTGAAAAGTACAAATATTCTAAATGTTATTTCTATATGGTAAAGCATGTTTATCACATTTGGCCTTGGGACTACATGTATATGCCCTCACAACTGGTCCTGCATTATATTGTGTCTTTGCTAAATATAAACAGTCAATGGATAAAAGATAAATGATGTCAGATGAACAGATATGGGTGGTGCCCAGCACCAAAATAATACTCGACCTATTCTAGACTATTTATAAAAATAATGATTCATGTAAATATAAATTTTTGATTTGGATTCATTTTTCAAATGTTTATGGGGTTGACTATTTTACACTCATACATGTGTACATGTATGCAATTATTGCTCGTTCTCAAATCTACATAAAATAGAAATCCTCAAAAGTTAGTATATTGTAGTATATTCATCTATTGATATTTGAATGATTTAAATTTTTGAATTGAATGGTTGGCTAATGTTAGTCTGAATGCTTTTACATAATTGTCCCGAGTACTGTAAAATACTTTATTTTCGCTTAGAATTAATTTTTATATTTTCACTGAAGGAATGATTCAGTGAAAATAAAATCCAGTGAATATACTTTTTTTTCCTATACGCTGTATTTTATTTGAAAATTAATTCCAGCTAAAACAAAGTGTTTTACAGTATTAGGATCGACAACTGAGACATAACCAGCGCATACAGTCACTAATAATAATCCTGGTACATGTATTTACCAGTTAATGTGTTAGAATGCCCATTAGGTCCAAAATTCACAAAGAAATTATAATTTAAATTGTTGTCCTGAAATGGAAAAAAATGATGCATTCAAATTATAATCCCAGCAGTGAGGACGAGAAACACTTGATGCAAACATTAAGTCAAACAAATATAAATATATCACAATATTGAGAATCAGACTGCGAACACCTGTTATAACACCATGGCAAAAAGAATTTTTTCATTTAAGTTTGTTTGAATTTTTCAATAATATATTTAATACATATTTTCTGCGACTTATTATTTTTTAGGATGACTGAAAAACGGACATATAATGTGAACACATGATTCACGTAACAACTAACAATGCTGAATACATATAGCTATCAGTGGCAATACATACCCATGTACATTATCACTACCCCTACATGTATATGTAAAAGCACTACCTACAAACAGTCATTCACTGTACATGTAGTTACATATACCGATATTTAAAAAAAAAAGTGATGGGTGAACATTTTGGTAAAAATGTCAAAGAGCGTGTCCCACAAACGGTGTCTACAAACATAGAACAATAACAATTCATCAACTACCTCCCATCGGTAACGACAAACATACGAAATGGTAACAGAAACAGTAATGGTGTACACTGTTGTCTAACATTCAGTCAGCATTCCAGCATTTTTAACTGAGGGTATATGTACCCTCTATACAGAAAACTGGGGGTACACCTGTACCCTCTACATAAAAAATTGGAGGTATTTCTAAGAGGGCCTGTATTAATCATCTACTCTGGGATTCAAAAGGAGTGGTTGTTGTAGCACGAAATAAACATTATACACAATATTTCACAGAATTCTTCCTGTATATTGTGTAAACAAATACAAATTTGATTGAATTTTATAACTACAATTAATTAAATTCAATTGAATTGCGCTTAATTGATGAAATTGACAATACAATCTTACCTTGTCATGATGAGTCGTAATTGTAAATAATAAACCAACTAGTGACACAGTGGCACTGCGGTGTTAAGTTACGTTATGATGGGTCTCATCATATGTCACACATTTTATAACCACGCTATTTGTAACTCTGACTGTCAACATTCCACAGTTATGACTAAAACATAAATTATTATAATTTATCCTTGACAACGGGTTTCCCCCTAAACCAACCGTTTTTTTTTTTGTCATTTCCTATTAATTTGAGAGTGAACAACCGCCATCCTATTGTTATGTAAATATCAGAAATAAGCAGGACATTCACTCAAAAAAAGATGACTAGCGAATTCCATATAAGGGAAACACTCTATTTATCCTGTAATGTGATTGGCTGATGAAACTGATACACCTGATGAGATAGGAGTAGCAGTAAATAGCCATTTCAATGAAATGTATTACCTTTCCCCATATAAGGAAGGTGGACTACTTCATTTAGGTAAATAGGGGTGTATACACTAACATGGGGGGTTTGGCTACATTATGTAATTCTCAGAAAACAATTTCTGTGGAACTCTGGGACAATTCAATTGAAATGCTGATTATCTCAGGTGCGCAGTGATTCATTGAATTGTTTTCCCTTCTAGGAATCTCTTTAGAGAAAAATGGCTTGTGTAGACGCATTGTCTGAAGTGCACGAATAAATAACTTGAAGCAAAGTAACATGTCAAATTCACACAAGAATGCTGTCACAAAAATTTCCACATTTTCTACGAATTCAACAATCATAATTTCATTTGAGCCTATAGATTGTTTAAACAATGTATCGTTGAAAACAAGATCATTGATAAAACGTAACCATTAACAGAACTTTCAATTCATTATTATTGTGCATTTATCTATGGTTGTCACATTCTTTAACAAAGATACCTAACTGTATTGATCAGTAACACATGTGTTTACAATAAATAACAACAAAGTGTATTTCAATTAATATTCATGATCAACTAATAAACTATTAAAGTCACATTTTTTTTATGATCCACTATACGAGAAATGTGATTTTTGGTTTGCGTGCAGTTCTATAAATTAGAGATACATACATGTATACACTACTTGTAAAAGCTTGCTCTACTAAACCATACATTGCATTCCTTGTATACTGGATCATTAAAACTACATGTACAATGTATGTCACTGAGGGGAGGATAATTAGGAACTCAGGAGAATGAGATAGGAGAATGAGATGAAAGAAAAGAAACGCAATATATTTGTTCCTTCGCATAGTTTTGCACTAATTTTTTTCGTTTAATGATTAATTTGATGTGATTTTTTTTTTTTCTTCTGCGTGTGTGTGTGTAATATTTTTTTCATTAAGAAATAGGTGCACAATTTTATTTTTTTTATTGATATCTACAGGACTTTTTTCCCCCCATGATCTTTTCTTGTGCAATTTTTTTTTTCTGCAGTAACCCATAAGTTTTAATGATACAGCATTTTTAATAGGCACAAATTCAGCCAATAAACAGAAATACCTACAAAACAAAAAAATTGGATTGTAAAAAAACTGCTGATTGTAAAAACACCATTTTAATAAATCACTTTAAATTTTGTGAGAAACCACTTTTTGTATGGGACAGCCATGTTTTGTTTTTTTCCAGGAATTTAAGCACTGTGGTGGTAAAATTGCCCAGGTAATTTGCATAGCATTTGCATATATTTCCAAAATTATTCCAAACAAAAATTATGATTAAATGGTTTTACAGTACTGTTTAATGCACACAATTATTCACTTACAAATCTTATATTACATCAGGACTTATTTATACAAGTACACATTAATTTTCGCACTTTATCAATTTAAAAAGTCAGCAATGGCACAGTTGATGTATAAATCACTGTGGTAGTCAGAATAATGATTGTGTCAGTGTCAGACCAGTGTGACAGTAAAACAAACCACTGTGGTAGTACACAATACTGTTTATATCCTAGCGAGTACACTGCAGGAATCATTTTCCTGGTGTCCTTCAAAGAGAAGTCACAGTGACTTGCAAAAATGTTATCTATTTGAATCCTTCTTAAATAGTGATTCACAAATTTTAACAGCTCTGGAAAATTTCACAATTTTTAGTATTTTAACTGTTTCCTGATGGGCGACTAGATTTTATTTTTGCAAACTTATTTCTCTAGCAAATATGTAGTAAAAATAAAAATAAAATTATTCAAGGTACAATAGATGAGTTCACTAACCAAGAGTTGCCCCTCCTTCCCCCACCTAAATAATGGCTTGTTCCATAATAATAAACATACAGTCCCAGACTGGGGTGACATGAAACTGCACAGCAGAATATCAGCAAACGCCCTT